CCTGGTCTAGTGGAAGGTGTCCCTGCCCCTGGCAGGGGGGTTGGGACTAGACGATCTATAAGGTCCCTTCCAACCCAACCCATTCTATGACTCTAATGAGAAATACTCTATGTAAAAATGTGTTTCTGAGGAACAAGGAAACAAACGTGGGCTCAGAGAAGGGGTGGAATAATGGAGAAAGCAATGCATGCTGCTTAGGTAGGAACTTCTTCCACTTTTTCCTCTTTATAAAACCACCCTTCCTGAATCCAAGATTGCTTGCTGAGACCCTCTTCACACCTGAGACCTTCAGTTGTTATGGGCTAGACATAGGGAGGAGGAGGGAAGCCCTCTCAGCACTTCTGTGCTTTGTCTTCTGCTTTGTCCTCTTGTTCTCCTGAGGAAACTCTCTCTGTGAACTGGAATGACTTTCTGGCACTAGGAAGTTGCAAGAAATTAGGCCTTAAAATGGGGACTTCTCAACTGCAAACATTTTAGTTTAGTGTGATGGCAATTCAAACTGGAGTTTACCTTATTCTTGCCTTTAGTCTAATTGATAGGAATTAGGGCACTAAGACAAACTAGCAGTCTCTGTAGTGGCCGCGAGCGCACAGTGGCAGTTAGGTGAAAGCAATGTGTCCTGTCCCATCCTCATCCCCCAGGTGAGTAAGTGTTGGCTAGTGGGGAACGTTTATAAAGGTTTAAATGGCATTGAATTGGGAGACATCAGTCTCATTCAGACACAGCTTTACCACTAGTACTTCATCAGCTGGTCCAAACAATTGAGCTACAAAATACAGATCATTTAGCAGTCTCTGTTTCATCCAGGGTGAGGTGACGTCTGTATGTAATGAATGCTGAAGTTGGAACCAGTTTACGTATAAAGACGGATGCTTCTGTGCTTTTTAGTGATAGGAAATTCAGAGGCAACTAGTGAGGAAAAAGATGCAGACCCTTCACTTTTTAGCAAGGCTGCCACAGAAGAACGTGCTGTACTGAGGTATTGCTAACACAAACATCCTCTCTGAGGGCTTGTTCCTGTTTAGCTTGGGAAAGGGGAATGCCCGCTTTCGTAGATTCCTTCGTCTAGAGATGGAGTGGGCATACTTCTCTGTTCCCTTTACAGAGGGGCAAGATTGACCTCTGTTTGTGCTTTTAAAAACATGGGCTCCATAGCAACAGTGTGAGTACCTTCTGCAACCATCTTCCAGTACTACTAGTCAGATGAATGTCACGTCAGGCAAACAGGACTGGTATTTCGTGTCTCATCAGCTGTTCAAAATCTTCACATTTATGGATGAATGCATTGTGAAAATCAAAAGTAGTTCTATCTGTACTACAGAGCACTGATACTGAGCTTACTACCAGGCGTGGCTGCTAGCTTCATCTGTAACGGCATAGTGGAGCAGGAGTGCATGGAAACTCTTCTAACTGAGTAGTCAGGAAACTGGGTGTTTTTTAAAACAAAAGAAAAGAACAGGGAAGGAAAGACGGAAAAATGGATGCTTTGCACTGAGGAGAAATAGGAAGTTGCTGGCTCCTAAGTTCTGATCCCAAGCCACAGTCATATCTTTTAAATTATTAGCTAAGATGAGATCACATTTTTGCATTATGTATGTTGAGTTATACCACTTGAAATATATGTTTATACTTATGCTCAGATCGTAAGAATGGTAAAGGAGGAGACATTAACATAAGTATCTCTTTCATCAGCTGACCTTTTTATATATTTGCCTTTTTCAAGAAACTGTATATCCTCACTTCAAAACAAAAAAGGGAAGGAGGAGAGAGAGATGGAGACATGACATGTCCCACACTGATTGACTTAGTGTGTGTTGCGGAGAATCAATGGCCAAATGGCTCTGGAGTGTGGAAGAGGAGGAAGTGAACTAATTGTGTTGGTGGTCAGGTTATTCTAATTATTTTGGTTAGAGCAGAGGGGACATTGTGACATAAGCTAATGGGGAGGAGGAGGAGTCTTGATTTATGCCTACAGTAGTTGAGCTGCAATCTCTCCTTAAATCAGGATAACTTCTGTTGGGGAAAAAAGATGCGGAGAAATTACATAATTACACTAAACAAAACCAATTATACTGACAAAAGCAATCAAGTCAATTGACTTATGCCTGAAAAGCTCTGGTAGCTAAGACTTTTGCCGTAAAAGTGGTGTACAAGGATTCTGCTAATCAGCATTACTAACCAGACTGTCTGAGCATACAGCGCATGCTGGAGTGGGGCTCTGGTGCTAATTGTCTCTGTAGCTGTAAATGTCATATGGAGACACTAGCATGTGAAGGAGAAGCAGAAATACTGTCATGTGTGCTGCGTCAAAGAGGTGTTAATAACAACCACAGACATCTCATTGTATCTTGTACAAGTATTTTTACCTTCGCTTCCTGACCAGGTTGTTTACTGTGACTGTCCTGTCTGTCTTTAGCCCTCCACTTTATTATTATTTCAACCTGTTGGCTCATTTTAGCCACAATTGATAGAAAGACAGAGGTGTCAAATACATTGACTTTCTGTATTTTTGTGAAAACAGGTGGTCAGGTGAAGGAGAGCTCCGCATTAGTTCTTTCCAACTAAAGCAGCAACTTTTGAGTACGTTGTTTTACCGCAGGGACTCCACACAAGAGGGCATGGGAAGAGGCAAGAGACAAGGCAGCTGTGAAAAAAGTGTCAAGCAGACCTCAGACCTTGTAAGACACAGGATAATCCAATCTTAAGGAAAAAAACCTGCAGGAAACTGAGCTGTGTCACTGTTGCTAGTCAAGGACTATTCGTTCTCAGTGTGACTGCTGCTCACAGTTATAATTTATGGTCTGGCTGTGGTTTGCCTTGGCTGTACTAATTCTGTGGCTGAACCCTACCTGCAAAGTCAGCATCCCTTCTGGCTGTCAGCAGGAGCTGGCTTACATTTCTCTAGGCAGCCAGTGCTGGCCCAGTCTATTGTGGGGAAAATGGGAGCTGTCTGGAGCAAGCGCGCAGTACTTCTGCGGTCTGGTGTTTTCTGTCTAAACTTCAGGTCATGGTTTTCAGATGGCCATGGCTTTTAAGTGCCCAGTGTCTCAAAGTTGGTCTTCTGCCTTTGTTTCGTGAGAATTGCTAAGTATCCTTTGATTGCTCTCTGAACTCTTTGTCATAGATGCCCAAGTTAGTGTATGCTTGTTCAGCACTAGTCCAAGAATACTGATATTTATTCCTCTATTTTTAGGGAATGAGAAATGGCTCATTGGTAAAATAAAGAAGTAACACTTTAAAAATGTCTCAGATGGGGGAATAATTACTTTTCTCTGTGTACGAACCCAGACTTTCTCCCCTCTCTCTTCTCCAGGCTGTCAGCGCTCCATAGGCTTGTCCAGTGGGAAAGCCAAGGTGTGCAGCTATAGTGGATGGTATTACTGCAGCACCTGCCACGTGGATGACAGCTTCCTCATCCCTGCACGGCTGGTTCATAACTGGGACACTTCCAAATACAAGGTAAGCTTCCTGCAGGTTGGCTTGCTAGCAAGTGAACTGAATTGCTCTTTAGATAGAAACACAGACATTGCAACAGGTTGAAGGTTACAGGCATTGACTACTAATACTGTCCTCTTTGTCCTTCTTGCCAGAATGAGCCATGCTCTTTCAACAAGACAGATGTTTTCATCACAGTTTCCTTCACCAGGCCTAAGACGTTTCTCCACAGGAGCAGCCATGCTGCTCTTTCTTAGGGGCATCTTTTCCATTGTTGCTTTGCTGGTTGTTTGAGAGGCAGGGAGGGACAGAATACTGAAAGCTCTCTTTTAGCTCTAATCTTTGCAGTTATTGGGCCCTTGAGGAGTACCTGTTTCATGAGCTCTAGGCACTATGGATTGGCACTGCTTAGTGGTGGATGCTAAATTATGGAAATGCCCACAGGAAACTGACATGCCCAACGTGGTGTTTGCAGCCCGGTACGTCCTGTCTCGTGTCACGAACATTTTGAGGACACTAGAAGGACATTGCTATAGCACTTGTTTGGACCAGACAGCCAAATGTAACATAAAGAGAAAATTCTACAATTGTTCGCTTGCCACACAAGCAGCTTTTAGAAAAGTTCCATAATCTGCTGTTTGCTGCTGCCTTGGTGGCTGGTTGCGAGATACAGGCAACTGATTACATACCTCAAAGCATTATGCCACCAAACACAGTAGCAGTGTTGTTTTGCCATCTCAGAGAGCATATGCTGAAACAATAACAAACTCATAAGGAATCCAGACCATACTAGAGCTTCAGACCTAGCAGCCACTGTTAGGAGAGGCTGTTTGATGTTTTGTGTCTGCAAATGCTATTTTTATTATGGGCTATTTGAAAAGGAAAAAAATAACCAGTAAATGCCCCATTAGAGGAAAAGCAGCTCTCTTGAAGAAGAAAATTTGTCAGACGGGGAGATTATTAAAAGGTAGCCAGAGCCTGCCATCAGGAAAATGATAGTCTTGTGCCACAAAATGCAAGATTCTTCAGAGTTACAAAGGTCCTATGAGTGGAGACAAACCCCCTCCCTTTCCTAGAAGTGAGGAATAAATATTTAAGAGTTCTTTCTTTGGATGCTTTTACCAAGGACTATACTTGCTAACCCATGGTAGTATAGGGAGCCCTGGTATGGGGCAAGTGGATGGTAAGGCAAAGACCGCATATCAAGCTGTCCGTAAGACTGCCAAGAAAACAAACTCTTTTGTTTTCTAACTCTGTAGGGTAAAAACTATGCTTTATGCTCTGTTTCCTGTGGCCTTGGTATAGGCAGCTGAGGCACAAAAGGAAATGGGACTTTCAAGCTGAAGCATGCATTGAAAACTTAATCTACTGAAATCTCACTGTAATAGTGAGAAGCTATCAATTTGCACTTTTTGTAGACAGGCAGAACAACAAGGAGGTGGCTTGGGAGCACAACCAAATTCTGTGCAGATATTTTACCAGTCTCTGTGCCAAGTGCTCTGAGAGGTAGATTTAAGAAAGGAATCCTATTCCTTAGGTAGGAAAACATTACAGCATCCCCAACTATTAGAGCAGAAACTAAGGCAGGGAGGTAAGGTGAAGAGGGCATCAAGTGCCACAATGACAGTGTGACAACTGAGCTGCAGTCACTGAATGGATCTCAACTTTGTCCCATCCATGTATGGTGGACACCGTGTTGCTTATGTGAAATATTTGGGGTTTTCCCTTTCTGTTCAATTCTGCATACATATGCTTTTATTTCTGTCCTTACTATACCTCCATGGGAACTAAGCAGTACTTTTCTGAGGTAGAGCACTTATTGCCTGCACTTTTACATCTGCATTCTCCTTTCTCCATTCAGAGACAAGGTCTAATGTTTATTTCTTCTGTATGATCTAAAGGGCAACTTAGTGCTTGCTGCTGCACTTGATAGTTACAATGAAACTACATGATTCCTTAGTAGTGTATTTATTTGGCAGAGACAGATATCTTGTCCCACTTCCTTGAGGTGATCTTGCTAGTAATAATTTTCTTTGGGCTCATTTTTAAAAGAAGATCACTTAATTTGTCAGCATTTTACCTCTCATAATTGATCAGTGTGTCCACAAACAGCTGCACAGCAACATCCCAAAATGAAGCTGAACAACAGAACTTCTCATAAATGCACAGCCCTGCCCCTCACAGGTAGCGCAGCAGTATCTGAAAGTGGAGCTTCTGTGACGGGTGACTTGCTCCTGGCTGGGACTCGTAGCAAACCCAAGAGAGGTCCTGCAGCAAAGAAGCACATACCGCATTTGATGGTCAGAACTGAAACAGGGCTTCAGTCTTCAAAAGCTTCTGTGTTTCACATGGTCTGCAATGAGCCTGTCAGTCCACCAAACGGAAGTAAACTGAATGAAGAGTCTGAAAACCTGTACTCCTTCCCACTGCCACCTTTTCCTTGCCTCTGCAGAGGTTTCTGTGGACATGAGTTTTTGTGAAGATACAATGTAAATGGGCACGTTTCTCTTTGTTTCATGGATTCCTAGACATCTGAGCAGCAGCTGTAAACTTGCATCAATTAAGTAAGTTTTGCAAATTCAGAGGTTCTTGTCTGCTTTTGGCAAGACAGTTAATGAAAAAACAGAAGCAGCAGAAATCTGTAGAGCTGTGTCTTCCCATACCCAGGATCTTGAAAAACAACAATGCACTTAATACCTGAAAGCACATGGGTAGGAAGAGAAAAATCCCCTTGACTGCAATAAAAGCTCTTTGAAAGGACTTGGCAGTTAGGCATGTTTCTTCTGTCATAACCAAAGCAGCAGTTCAGTCCCCAGGTCCCCTTTTTTCTCCTGTCTCCCTACAGTTTTCATATTTGTGTTTTTCACGTGTTTGTGTGAAGGGAGAAGAAAAGAGGCAATCTTGTGAACTTCCTTGCTTCCTTTTACTTAGGCCGACTGTTTTCCCCGTTTACATGCAAAACCAGTAAGTATTGCAGTTTGGTTCAGGTGGCTTCCAGCCTGTGCAAAATGCCAGACAAACACAGCGGGAAATGAACTCGCTGTGCCAGCAGGCTTCAAGGGAGGCTGACTTCTGGTAAACTGAATTCTGAACTGTAAGTTTGCAGCCTCTAGAAAAGAAAGGTCTGGAAATGTTAGCATCCATCCTTGTATGACACTGAAAGCTAAAACACTGTTGCACTTGGCATCTTCTCACTCCTTCTGGCTTCTTTAATAGGATTGTCTAGTCTGCCCAGTAAAATTGGGGGACTGTGAGTGTGCTAGTAGTGTACCAGAATACTGGCTGGTAGCAAGATGAATTATGATGACTGTCTGAGGCTATGTTGTGCCCTTTCTCCTTTTGTTAGCCTAATTCATCCATCCTTCGACTCAGTGTAAACACCAATTTAAAGGTCCAGGAGGACTAATTGAATTGTGGGAGACTAGTATCTCTATAGCCCAGTTTCATGTGATTTGCAGCTCATTTCAGATAATTCCATCTTCTTTTTTCCAGCTGTGATAAAATGCAGAAATAAGGAATGAGAGGGAGTTTGGCCTTCTCACCTCAGAAAGAGGAGCATCTTTTGTAGTGGGAACAAAAGTCCCATTAATTTATCAAGATTGCAGTAGCTCTTTGCAGGTGGAGTTAGAACAGAGCACTATAATGAAAAAGGCATACGAAAAATTCCTTGCAGATGAAACATGGGTAGTGAGTAAAATTCAACTTTATTTATCTGTATTTTAAAAAAACACAACAGCTTGGTAGAGGTGCTTCTAATTATTGTCTTTTTACATAATTCTAACGATACTGGCTGCGCATGAAACAAATGGGAATAGTACTTTACATTGGAGTTCTACACCCTGGGATAGTACAACGTGATTGGATTTGCAGGGTGTATGTTTACTTTTCTAACGTTGTGCTTTGGCACTTACCTAATCGCTTGCTTCTTGCCAAAGAGAAAACAGCAAACAAACAGAAAAATAGTAACAGGGTAGAAACTTGGTAAGTGACAGAGTAATTTTTCAGATGCAGAGAATAGCTGACAGATCACAGAGGGGAAGATCTGCTTAAGAAGAGTTGGGAGGAAAGCCTAGCTAAACTGGTTGTTTTATTTTTCAGGTGTCAAAGCAAGCCAAAGAGTTCCTGGAATATGTTTATGAGGAGCCATTGATTGATATCCAGCAGGAGAATCCCATGTTGTACAAGCATGTTGAACCTCTGGCAACTGTTGTCCGCCTGAGACAGCAGCTAAAATCTCTCCGAGCCTATTTGTTCAGCTGCAGAGCAGCAGTGGCTGAAGATCTGCGTAGAAGGTAAGAACCACAGACAACACACAGCACAAGGATGTAGTTTCCTTGTCATGTTGCTTTCCTCCCTTTTTTTTTCCCCCGCTCACAGTCTAGCTCTGAAGGTGTTTCCCCTTTAGAAAGATATTGTGCTTTTGTCTGACTTCCCTGGGCAGCTGGGGTATCTGCTGCCAAAGAAAAAGGTTTTATGTGGTCTGAATATCTGAAGTTGTTCTTGACAACTGTTAGCGCAGGGGTCACACATTTTGATGAGCATCTTTCATTCATCCTCAGGCTTCCTGGCTGTGTGTGAGTGTTTTCAGTTGGGTGTGATACCTCATTTTCCCTGCCATGGCATTGCAGTGTGTTAGCCACTGTTGTAACCCTTGAAACACCCCACAGTATGGCAAAGCATGAGAGAGGCCAGAGTCAACCACCTGTCCAGTGCTTCTGCCCTCTTCTGTGATGTGACCTCACACAAAGGCAGAGGCCAGATGCAGTCCCCTGGCACATGATCAGCATATGATTTGTGTGACACCAGAGCAGTTGTGCTCTTGCTCAGCCACTATCTTTTCCATCCATGACATGGGTGTGCTCGGTGTTTTGTTTATCGGAAAACACATTGTCACAGCACAACAGAAGATGTTTCATGTTGAGTTTTCTGTGGTGGAAACAGTAGTTTTATAAAAAGTGAACTTCATTTTAGAAGTACTGTATCTTAGTCCATTCAGCTGCTGCTGCATTTTTCTAACGAGCTAAAAATAAACAATCTTCTTAAAACCATCAAGCCACAGCTGTGACCTTAAAAAAGCCAAGTTACTTTTGTTTTGGATCTCTGAAAGAGATGGGGAGATATCTCTGCCCATGCCATACTGTGAGGTGAGTGGCTCCAAGCACACACATCTGACCTGATGGTAAATGCATCTGTAAGCATTTGTGTACACCAAGTTTGTAAGTAAGATGAGACCACAAATAGGAAAGCCACTGCTTTGGAAGTATGAGCTGCCAAAGGGCAAGAAAGCAGATGATATCAGTAACTATATTTTGAGCATGGTGTCTTAGGGATGGGGGACCTGAATTCTCTGGGAGGGAGAGGAGTCTGCACTAGTGCATTTATCCCAGGTAAGGAGTGAGACAGTTTGGTACATAAGCTATATCATTGCTTTGATGAACTACCTAGAACAACTAAGAGGAGGATTCTCTTAGGAGAATCAGGGGATTCTCGAGAACAACAGGTTCCTGGAGAGCACTACTGAGTTGCTGTGTCAGACTCACTGTGTGTTAATATGTGTTTGTGTCTCACTGCTCAATTCCTGTTATTTAATAGGGCAGCTTATGGCATTTTAAAAATTGGGATGATATTTCTTTTATTCTAGAGAATGGTATTATCTTGCAGACGTGTTTTGCTATTCAGCTACAATAACTTTCCTATGCCATCCTCTTCAACTGCAATAAAACTAAAAGAAGAAGATTTGTGAAGTCTGCCATTCAGAAAAAGTGGCAGAAAAGAAATTATGCTTTCTGATTAATGCTTAAGAAAAGAATGCTCAGATTAAAATAGGAGGAGGCAGGAGGCTGAATGGACTTGGGTAAGAGAGTGAAAGAAGAGAGGTCAAAGGAGGCCTAACCAGAGAAATCAGTGGACTAGAGACAAAGGGTCAGGAAAAGCCAGGAGAAGGAGGAGATTCAAAGGGGGAAGGGATCTTAGCAAATTAAGAGTTAATGAAGAAACCAGGACAAAAGGGTAGTCCCAAAACCTACCTCCAAAAAGGAGAGTTGACAAGTGCTGAGGAAATGGAGAGAAGAGAGAATGGACAAAAGTTAGCACAGAGTTGTGTGCATGGTCTTTTTGTGGGCCAGGGAGGAGAGAGAAAAAACTCCCTGTATCAAAGTGAAACACCCAGAATGGCAGAAGGGAAAACTGGGAAATACTCCAAATGCTCCCTTTCCTTATCTAAGGGTTCCTTCACACTGTCTCCAATTAAAGCTATCTGTGGTGGAGAGGAGGACCCCAGCCCAAGAAGGGTTTGCTTTTATACTAGGGAAGCATCTCCAATTTAGTAGGACTTGTTAGAAGTGCTGTAAAAGCCACTAAAGGAGAGTACAAAACACACTTTAGAGTCCAGCTCCTTCTTGGTCTGTGAAGTCTCTGTTGGGGTGGGTTTGGTGCTCAGTTTGTCCCTCAGACCTCCCCTAAGAGGTTTGCAGAAATGGAAAGGAAGAAAAGTCCTTTTCCCAGAAGGAGTTGTTCCTTGCTCAAAACTGGTCCCAATGGCTTTGCTTTCTACATGTATTATCACAGTGTGCAGACGTTCATTATCACTGTGATGGCTTTGTAGAGCACAACTGTAAAGTAAACAAAGAAAATATGTGATTTAAATTTCCCTTTGGCTCATTACATGGGCAAGTTGCAAGAAAATGAGGAGTTTAAGCAATACAGTGAGACAGCATTCCTAAATTTAGTACTGTTTCCTAGTTAGAAATGAAAGGCTGGGGTGGAGAATCTGGTTGTCTGTCCTGCTCTGAAAACATTCTTTTTCTGCTTGGTCTTCACCTTAGTATGTGAATGACTATTAATCACAAGAAAGTGAACACAGCATCTTGAAGACCTGTCAGACCCATATAAACAGACTAAAACAAACTGTTACTGTTGCTGTCTAGGGAGAACTAAAAACAGACTGATTAATTGTATTGGCACCTTGCTGCCTTTGGGACACTGATAGAGCCTGCCTTATTAGGGAAAAGCAGATCACTCTGAGGTTTCTTTTATTAATACTATTTGCGTTATCATCTTCTTTAAATCTATACCTTGCTCTTGAACCCAGGTTGCAAAATGAAGATGGCAGTGAGGTTGGAAACTGTTGGTGTCCTTTGGGAAGACAAAATTGTTTACAGTGCTTACAAGTCACTTTTTCTGAAGAATTCCAGATGGCTATAAATCGGGTTAGCTTAAGATTCAGTTGGCTTAAATGTGGAAATGTTATTTATAATGCTTGGTGTGCATAGATAGGTACTTTGGGAACTTTGAAACTTGGCATCTAGCAGAAAGCTTGGGGCTGAACCACATTGTGAACTTTGAAGAAGCAAATGATGAAGTAGAAAGGAAGAAAAAAAGAAAGAAAGGAAAAGAAGCAGAAGAAATCCTGAAAGTGGCTTGAAGACTCACACTAAAAGTGGTCTTCATCAGTTATGATGATTTGTTCTCAGCTGTTACTCCCCTGGATTCTAAGCTCCTTTTATATTTGCAAGGGAAAAAAATAAAGGAACTTGAACTTGGCTGGGAGGAGCAATAAGGCCCTCCACTGGTGCATATCAGCAGCATTTCTCTGATATTAGCCAGCTGAGACTCCCAGCCTGTTGCTGAGCTCCCTGTTTTACAAGGGATGTTGTTATGCCTAGTTGGCTGTGGCTGTCACTTCAGTTTTGCAACAGACATAATTTGCCTCAAATCTCTTTACTCAACAAGTTTTCACTTGTTTTGGTTGCCTTGCTTGTGTGGATGCTCTTGAGACAGAAACATACGAGACTGAAACCTAGCGCCAACATAGAATTAGTACAAACAGAGCTGTATAGATACCACCACCACCTGCAGACTGTGGGATGAGGAATGAATGGCACAGGCAAACAAGACAGAGTCAATAAACTTGGTAGCTAGGAAAGAGCGAGAATCTCCAAGTCTGTCAAATAATGAGGTTATTCTGTGAAGCCATGCTGAATGGTGCAAGTTTTACTCTGGTTTTGCTTTCTTCGTTTTATTTCTAGACATAAGGCACTGACAGCATGTCCATATGCCACAGCCTCTGTTCTTGTAATGGTTAAAGGCTCTTCAGGTCAAGGAACTTATCAGAATGATTTTTTGGGAAGTCTTCAGGCACCTCCATGTCTACTGCAAGGTAGACTAACCCGGGTCAACCTTGGAGCTCTCTCTGGGCCCTCTGCTCTCTCAGCTGTACACCTAAACTTGTGGTTCAGGCGTTGCTAGCCCAGATATTTTAGACAGATGGCAGTGACACAAGGTAATTGTTCTGCAGCACATTCCCCTATACGTTACTGCTTGTTGCAGTGCCCTCACTCTGTAAGTAAATCTTCTGAAAGGTGGTGAGAAACTATGTGGAAAAATTTCCCTCTGGTTACTCATCTCTATCTGATAGCATTTGTCTATCAGCTCCAGAACAGCAATATGTCAGTTTTACCCTAGCAAAACTCCAGTGCTGGATACATTACTTAGCATCTTACAGGAAGGCCAAATTAGAGCTTGCTGTTGCAGCAGGAGGTTAAAGGTACACCTCCAGTGCTGCAGACGTGTGGTCCCGGCTGAGTCTGCCTGTCTGTCAGCATGATGCGAAACAAGCCCAAATTCAGTTATGCAGAACAATAGAGTCCTGTCACTTCCTACAGTGAGGCCTTAGACATATCACTTCTGACACGGGAGTAGATTAGTTTCAAAATATTTGTGTGGCAATTGGGGAACTTGTCTAAACATATCACAGGAATCTTGATTGATCTTATGCAATCACTATACCACCAAATACCTCACGTATGTGAAGCTAGGGCTATGTCATCTTTCAGACTGAGGACAACAGAAGGTCATTAAGTCATGTGCACACTGTCAAAGGAGACTGTTTTCTCCATTCTTTGGAATGGGTAGGCCATTTGGAGAGTGGAAGATCCCAGAGCAGAAGAACAAAGATACAACTTGTGAAAGCATTAGACTGCAAAAACAAAGTTCGAGAGGAAAGGAACAGAAGCATGTGGTTTCGTAGCACTCAGAGTTCTGAGTTAATAGTGAGACCAACAGAAGAAGAAAATTTGTTGCATGGGTGATTGGAAGGAGGGCAAGAGAGAAACTCATTCAAAGAGGATATCTAGATATCCTGAGAGGATCTAGTGTTAAGATTGAAAACCACCCCTAAGTGAGGAAAGGTGAGAAAATAAATACAGAGAAGTATGTATGAGCCATTTGTTGTTTTATAATGATACTGCATGCGTGTAGACATTGCAGTAGCTGAAATAAAGCATGCCTGTTG